CAGAGGGAATCATTTCAAACTGTGATCCAAAGGCATAGGTTATATTATGGAAGGAGTTTTTGAAACAGGAAAGAGAATGTTAGCATTTACTTAGACTAACAACTTACAAGTGGCATCCCTTCTGATTCCATGTTGAGATCTAATATTATGATTAAAAATATTTATTCAAAAGAATAAATAAAGAAAAAATTTTAAAGAGCTACACATTGTCAAGGTCAAATTTAACCTCAAGTCTTCCTGCCAGTTGTGTCATGAGAGCTGACTGGAGGAAGGAGACTGGCCTGTGAGTGGGGATGTAGCTGTGGACAGGCAGAACCAATTCTACCTTTGTATTGTACAGCTCCTCTGGGTTGCTCCACTACTGAAGTGGTGTGAAAATTCAAGGGACACAACAGTCCATTCTCAAACTCTCCTTTTCTGAATGGGTGCCAGCATCGTATCCTGATACAAGAACTGAACTTTGTAAGTGTGCCATTTAACAAAGTAAATCTATTCTAATGGTCACTAGACACCTGCCATCCAGAACAGATGGTGACCCTGCTGAGAAAATTTTGAAAATTTTCTCTGAAATTATGGACTACAGATTAATTCATTGTCCTGTGAGAGCTAGCTTAGGCTGTATGTAGTGCAGATAAAAGCAGAAAGAGTGTTTTCCTAGTGCCTATTTATTATGCCTTTCTGGTTACTTGCACAGTTCCTAAGAAAAGAAACTCTTGAGTCCAGCCAACTGCAACCATGGTGCCAAAGCATAGAAATGAAAAAGAAAAAAGGAGATGGCCTGGCTTCCTGTGAATTATTTGACATAAAAACACACCAGTGTAAAAATACATAGTAATAAAAAGTGATATGAATAAAAGTTGGGAAGGTCACAAGTAAAAGAACTGATAAAAGACTTGGCTAGAGGAAAAAAATATTTATACTTTTAAAAGATCTAATTATTCATCTGATTTCCATAAGATGGGAACTCTTGTTCAATTTTTTTCAGAAACTATAAGTCAATTACAGTGCACCCAAATTTCTGCTCCGAGAAACCCAGTTTAAGCTTTAGCAGTGATTTTATCATAGGCTGCTGTGATCATTGTGGAATGGTTGATTAAAACATAAAAAGAGCCAAACCACTTGTAGCAGCAATGGCTCTTGAGAGAGAGAAACTCAGAATAGTGAATCCTCCCATGAAGCTTGAGCCATCGAATAGAGGGCCCACTGGCAACTGCCTGCTGAAACTCAGAGACTCTCCGGCTGTGCAACAATTAAGCTTCTCAGTGGGAGGCAGAGAACCCCTTACTCAGAAACTCAAAATAAACCTTGATCCAGAAAGAAATTTATAGAAGCAGGCATGGAATTTCATAAAGACTGAGTAATGTTCTCATTTCAGTACTTGTGTGTCATAAAATTATCATCGAGCTGAATCTCCTGGAAGGTAAACACAACAATTCAGTCTATCTTATCTCAAAAGCAGATTCCTGTTGGGTTCCTGTGTTCTGATCCACTCTGTACTTGTTGTTTGGACATTCAGGACCACTAGGCACAGGGCAGATGCCACTCGGATAATGAAATGGCTACTGTTGAGGTCTCTGCTACCTACCAGCAGTGATGGCCTGGCTACCAAAATATAAAAATATCTTCTGAGATCAACTGAATTAAGCCTCATATAGCTGAGGGAAGTGGAGTATTAGTTTTAGGTCAACAGTATTTAATTTTTTAATGTTTAATTCATGAAACATTTTTTTGGAGACCCCCTCCCCCACAAGAAACAGAAGTCTAAACTTCCTGTTTGTTTTATGAATAAAAAATAGAATGATTTGCATTCCTTGAGCTCCAACCAACACAGAGATAGTGTCATAGAGGTTGTTAGAAACATACTGAATGTTGGAAGAAAATAGCCCCCCAAAAAAAATCACACCAAAAAACTTCACATCAAAGTTGTTGTATTTCACCAATTGTGATAGATTTTTAAAACCTATATTTTGTTTTTTATTTCAATTATTATTAAGTTAAAAAGCAAAATGACCAGCCTCAGCAACTTAGTGAGGCCCTAAGAAACTCAGTGAGAACTTGTCTCAAAATAAAAATAGATAGATAGATAGATAGACAGATAGAAAGATAGATAAATGGTCTGGGGATGTGGTTCAGTTGTAAAGCACCCCTGAGTTCAATCCTTGGTACAAAAAAAGCAAAAAAGCAAAATTAAATCATCATTCAGAAAGTAGGAGATCCAAACAAAACAATCTTGAAAAAGACAAATGGAATTGAAATCCAGGTACTTCTGAATTTCAAAACTAACCTCAAAGTTACAATTTCAAAGCAGTGAGGACTGGCTTAACAGAGACAGACCACTGGGATAGAATAGTCCAAAAATAAATTCTTGCATATATAATTAAGTGATTTTCCAGAGATGTGGTTAGATCATTCAATGGAGAAAAGACAGTCTATTCAACAAATGGTGTGGGGAAAACCTAATGTCCATGTACCAAAAAATAAAGTTAGACACTTACCTAATACCACGTGCAAAAAAAAAAAAACTCTCAAAATGAATCAAATACCTAAATGTAAGTCCTAAAATTATAAGACTTAGAAGAAACTAAAAGAGAAATTTGGCAATGACTTCTTAGATATGATGCCAAAACCATAAATAATGAAAGGAAAAAATAGGTCAATTAGACCTCATCAAAATTAAAAATATAAAAGGAATAAAAGGAACAGGAGGAGATATTTTTAAATTATATATCTGATAAGGGATTGATATCCAGAATATATAAAATATTTTTACAAATTTGTAACAGGAACAACAAAACACCCTAACTAAAATAATGGTGAAAGGCTTGAGTAGACTTCTCTCCAATGAAGATCAATTAATAAGCACATGAAAAGAAGCTCAATGTCCCTAGTCATTACAGAAATGTAAACCAAAATTATGATGATAATACTTCTCACCCATTAGGTTATTTTTTTAAAACAGTAAATAATAAGTGTTGATGAGGCTGTGGAAAAATTTAAACCCTTTCCATTGCTGGTGGGAATGTAAAATGGTATGGCTATTGTGGAAAATACTATGATAATTCTTCAAAAAATTAAACACAGAATTACCATATGATTCACTAATTCCACTTTAGGGAAGACTAACACATATTTGAACACCTTTTTGGATAGCACTTTTATTCACAAGGTTAGAAGGTGGAAACAAGACCAGTCTCCATGGATGTATGAATGGATAAACAAAATGTGGTATATACATTTATGCATTAGAATATTATTCAGTCTTCAAAAGATCAGTAATTTTGACACATTCTATGAACATTAATGAACCTTGAAGACATTATTCTAAGTGAAATAAACCTGTCATGAAAGAGCAAGCTGTAGTATGATTCCACTTCTATGGGATTCCTAGCATAGTCAGATTCATAGAGACAGAAGGTAAAATGGTGGTTACCTGGGGCTGAAAGGAGGGGGCAATGTGGAGTTATTATTTAATGGGTATAGAATTTCAATTTGGGAAGGGAAAAAAAGTTCTCTTGATGGATGGTGGTGATAGTTATACAACAGTGTGAATATAGTTAGTGCTACAGAACTGTATATTTTAAAATGGTTAAACCAGAAACATTTGTATGTTATGCACATTTTATTATAATTTCAAAAGTGAGAACAAAAAACAGAAATAATAAGTGAATAAGTTGTTGAAAATTGGGAAGAAGTTAAATGTATAGTAATAGGGGAACTGGAATGATTAAATAAATTATTATTACCCACTCAGTGGATATTTATGTAGCCAACAATATTTATTAATGGTGGCAACATGGAAAAATGCCTATAGGGTATTAAGTGTATGAGGGGGGTAAAATTGTCATATAATTTGATTGTAAATATAAATAACTCTGGTTCCAGAAAAAAAACTAAAAAGAAATATCAAAGTGCTTTAAAATTTTTTAATTTGGATGGTGAAATTATTTGCTTTGTTTTCATTTATTTTCCAATTGTTTTGGAAAACAGATGTAATAATCTTTAATGGAAAATGAATTTATAATTTAAAAATGAAAAGAAGTAACAAAGCAACATCTTAAAATAATTATTACAATCCTTTTTAGTTATCTATAATATCAAAAATACTGGCTATCTTTGAAGCTTTTGCCAATAACGAAACTATCAAGGAAGTGAGTGATTAAGGTTCCTGGAAATTCTTGTTCAATTTTCTGCTTCAAATACCACTCAGGATTCAGGTCACTGAGCAGAGGATACAAAGTTGAACATCTCTGAAGGAAGAAAGAAACTCGTCATGCATTTGTCACTGGGCAAAGAGAACTTCCCAGAGGCGAAAACGGCATGCATGGAGAGATGCCTATCTAGGTTAAAGCAGACTCACAGCTTGGCAAATAGGGCAATCTTTAAAACTGCTTTCCAAATTGATGCAATGATTCTAAGTAGGTTATTCTTAAAACTTAATTCTACATCCATCTTTCTCCAACTGACTTGTTGACTCCATCTCATTGTCTCTCACAAGTTCCACCTTGGCCCTCCAGCCTCCTACCACCCACTCAAGGGACCATAATGCACAGGAGACTGTGGGGAAGGGCAGCAAGAGAAAGGCACGGGCTTCAGATGGTGATGTCTGCTCTTTGGAACAGGCAGGCAGTAAGCAAAGAAAGTGGGCAACAGTGTCACAAAGCAGAGCTGCAACCACCCATCAGGAAGGGGTAGCTGTCTTCAGACTCCTACTCACAGTAGCTCACAGGTATATTTGATGGTCAAGGTCACCAGATTCACAGGGTTCCAACCTCTATGTTCCTTTCTGATGGATCCTGTTACCAATTTTCCTACAAGAGCCTTATCTAACCTGTCTTCCAGAGCCATTGTTCATGTGGATGTTGCCATAAAGTATTCTCATAAATTTAGTTTCATTCCATTGATGCTCTTGGATTCTGGTCTGAAGAAACCTTCCAAGGTCCCAGTTGATGTCTCTTCTATCCTCTGCCATTTTGGACCATTCTGTCTCTCATCAATTCTAGGTGGTTCGAGATCAGATCTCTCACTGTACGGTGAAATTACGCCAGACCACAGGTCTCATGGAGTATTGCTTGGAGGTGATTAAGGAAAATGATCCTAGTGGCTTTTTGCAGGTAAGTGTTAACTAGTTCTGCTTCAGATTCCACATCAGATTCCATGGGGCTGAGTCTAGGATGCCTAGGTGGGGTGTCCAGAAGCCCTAGCTGAGCATGGGTCCCTCAGTAACAGAACCCACCTTCACACTGCAGTGAGTGTGTGGGTGCCTGCTAAACTCACTGACATACTGGAAGTTCTGTTTTCACCATGTATTAGAAGACTGAAAAGTGTTTGGGATTTTTTGTTTATTTTTGTTTATAGATTTAGTCATAAAAACGTAACTCCTTATAAGTTCTCCCAAAATGGAGTCACTGCCTTGCCTAAGAATTGGGCCTTCTTTATTACTGTCTCTTGGACAGTTTTGTTATCTGGAAATGTCTGAGTGTGCAAGGTTTCTACCTCCCGGTCACTAGCCATAAGTCAGTGATTTCTCAAATATAGCAAAGCCTTTTCTATTTTTTCAGTGTTATTTTAGTGAATTGCCATAAGATAATCTGACTTTTACTTAAGTTTTGATTCCAAAGATAAGGAACCCTTTGTTAAGGGATGTGTAGATGGTTTCCAACTCATATTCTACTGAACTGGCCAAGAGTAAAAGAAGGAGACTGAATGAAAGAATTCTCTATCAGAGAATACGGTATTAAATACACAAAGTTGGTGAGCCTAAAATATAATAAATTCTATATGCAGCCTCTTTAAACCAGTTCCCAAGTCTTTATAGACTACTCACACCTCAAAGTAGAAACTTAGATCTGTTGGTTCTAATAGGACTAACTAATCACCAACATCATCTCGTCCTTTACAGTCGTTGGCTTTGAGGATCATGGAGTATTGCTTGTCTCTCACAAGTTCCACCTTGGCCCTCCATACCCATAGCACCCACCCAAGCGACAATAATCAGAACAAATGCCCATGGGTCTGTGGGGGAGAGGCAGCAACAGAAAGGAACAGGCTTCTCCCTCTCTCACTCTTGGCCAATATAGAATGATCCAGGCATGTCTATTAGATCAATTAACACCTGATAATTACTTCCAGTGCCTTCCCTACAACTCACCAAAATGTTCAGATTTGCTTGATAAACCATAGCTTATCATAGTCATAACAGGTCCTTCTCACCAGATGCATTGAGACAGGACAGGTGTGAGTCCCAAGGCGGTTTGGTGGTAATACTCTTGGAGTCGAGGGGCAGTGTGGCATTGTATTTCTTAGGCTGTGGTCTTTGATGTGATTAGATTTCTGACGCCCTCATAAGGAGAGTGCACCTGACTGAGGATCAGTGGGGGAAAGGCACGCTCACTCCCAGGATGACCACGGACTTTGACTTGAGTCTGGACAACAGCCCTCTGCTGCAGTCCATTCACCAGCTCGACTTCGTGCAGGTGAAAGGTACGTGATTGCATCTCCCGAGTCAGAGAGCAACCTCTGGAACAGATGCTGGTGCTTTGGGCAGGATCAATATCCCTCTGATGAATGTTATAAAAATCTGTAGTGTCTTCTATCTTACTGGGTAATGAAAACATCTCCTGCAGCTGTGTAACTCACCTCTGAGCAAACCAGATAAATTCTGATAAACTGTTTGAGAGTCAGAGATTTCACATGCTCAGCATCAGAGAATAGCTGACATAAAATGAGATAGGGAGAAAGAGAAAACATCCCTGCACATAACTAAAGCCTTGTTACAGAAATACTGATATAAATCAAGGGAGCCCAGAATTTAAATGACTGCTTCCACCTGGATAGTGATAGCGAGTAAACAGTTCAGCCTGGACCAGTGGGAACTTGGGAAGATCATAGTCAGCCTGACAGTACTAACAAGAAAATAACAAATGTAGAAGAAAAATGAAAATTCAACCTAAACTTTAAAATTAATTTATGTAACTAAAGCAAGTTCTCTTTGAGATTTGGGGTAGGGTGTGAAGGGAAGTACAAATATATAGAATTATTTTAAGGAAAAGAACTTTCAAAGAAAAATAAACAATTCAAGCCAACTATGCAAAAACACTTTATGGCACATTAAATAATATCCATTTAAAGAATATTTCTGTTTTATTTTTTACTCTTTTGCTTTGAAACATATATACATTTTCAGGAAGGTGCAAACACAGTATGAAGAGGTCCTTCAAATTCTTCATCTAGTTGTCCTCAATGGTTACATTTTTGCATAACTATAATATGTGCTTCTTCATGGAATATCTGTATTCTTACACTTAATAAATCCAACTTTTTGTGTTGCAGCAATTCTTTCTTGCTGTTTAACATTGTTCTTTTAACACCCACATGGTAGCCTGTGAAATAAACCTATCCCTAGATGAATATAGAACCCCAGGTAAATCTTCCATCAGCCTCTCTCTGTCCCCAAAGGAAAGGTTCTGTCACAAGTAGCTTGGAAGAGAAAATATGTCACAAAAGACCAAAATAAAGGCTTGATGGAAGAGGAAAAAGGAGCCAACCCAGTTAAGCCTTGGTGAGAGGGCAAAGGGTGGGATGCTCGGGGGTAGAAGCCTCAGGGCTTTGAAATGTTTTAATCAGCTGTCAGAGCCCTTCCCTTGCCCATTCACTGCCCTTCTGAGTCCTGTCCATCTGCCCATGGTGGAGTCCAGGCCAGTTGGCAGGATGGCAACAATTGTGTGAACTGAGCAGGCCTTTCAGCTGCTATGAGAACTGCAGGTCCACGTGCCTGGCATCACAGAACACATTTCCAAAGCATTGTCACTTGGCCACTTAGCACTGCACACAGAAATAAGGGTGAACACAGCTGTGTGTACAGTCTGTTCAAGTCTGTACCCACAGCAGAGAATGGACAAAATGTAGAACACCCTCACAGCAAGAGTTCATCTGGACCACAAAATATCCAGAACAGTCATTTATGAAGTTAATATGACAGACCAGTTAGTATGAGAGGTAGGTATTCCATTTACCTTTTAACTTTTCATCTTCATTTACTTCTGGTTAATATCACTCTGCCTTGTTACTTTATATGCTTTGTTTTGTGCTCATTAATTTAATTAATTCAGTGAAAACCCAGTCCTTTTTAGAATCTGAATAATTTTTATCTGTCAGATGCTTGTTATGGAAAGAAAACCCAAAAGGTCATGATGTGATAGAACTTGATTGACTAGTTAAAACTTCTCCTACTGGACTGCGTCATTTCTCTTAACACATGTACAACTGTTCCTGGCATAGTACTAGTCTTTGTTTTTAAAAGAAATACTTAGTTTAATGAACAACTCGTTTGCAACTTGTTGATAAAAATATCGCAAGAAACTATACTCTAAAATGCATATACAAATGGCCCCAAAATTAAATAACTTTTGGAATAGTGTTAATGTAATCTGATAATTGTGAAAGTAACAATATATGTCATTTACGTGTTTTCTAATCATGCTAAGTAGATTACAAGTAGAAAGTTAAATTTTTTTTCAAAATTACTGAAAGTTATGTATTTAAAATTATGATAATGAAAATATCTGTTTCCTTCTTGACCGAAAACTTGAGCAGCCATCTCTCTGGTTTTATAATCTCATCACAAATGCCTTTGCTGTTGTTGTTGATACTAGAGAAGATAGTTCTGCTGTTAGTTTCTACACATTTCTACTCAGCCAGCTACTACTCAGCAATAATGCACTGCCTGAAGTTATTCTCTTAATAACTAAAGACTTAACTGGTCTTTTTTCTCTGATTACACATCACCCTAAGCAATTGAAATCCATCTGAAGAAAGCTGATATAGTCTTTGTTCAAACATTCCTAAATTGAAATATTTTCTGGTTGTATCTTGATTAGAAAATCATATTACACTCTTTACAGATGATTAGGAGTGGTATTGGATATTTCAGACTTATTGGAAGCAATATATTAAGCTCTCTTACGTTTTTATTAGAGAATAGTAAAAATAACATTTTTTCCTTTAATTCTAAGTTGCTATCATCTACTATTCTCTAGGTCATGACAAAGAAATTTTAAGAGTCTTTTCCTAGTCTGCCAAGGGTTCCACTGCAGAAAAATATTAATCTGGAATTGAGCAAGTACACAGAATATGCCGAGATTTGTGAGTCATGGTGCTGAAAGGAAATGTGACTGTATTCATTATGAACCAGGATGAAACCATGACTTGAAACTCCACTGATGCTTTTTAGCACATAGACCAAATGGCTGTTAATTTCTTTAAGTGCCTCTGCCCCTCTAAAGATATATTTATCTTCATTAATTCATCTTGAATGTGAAAGCCCTGAGTATGCACCAAGGTCATGGGCAAGGACAGTGTGATCTGAACAGACTCTCTTATAAATCATAGAGAAGAAGCAGCCAGGTTGACAGCAAGGGGGTGAGCATACCCACGTGTGCATGTAATCTATACCTGTATGGTGGTATAGGGACCTGAAATGCATGTCCTCAGAATATGCATTCACATTTATGCTTAATAGTGTACCAGCAACAGTTTTCTAGAAATGGCCTATAGCTCCTCTAAAGTCTGAAAGCCATTTTTTTGTCAGCCACCATAAAGAGAAATGACAGTCTACATACCAACCTTCAGAGAAGATGTAGTAAATTGGCATTCACAACCGTCATAGCTCTGCAGGTGAAATAGATCATTAATATCTACCAGCAGTTCTTAGGAATGTTTGTCATTCACATCAGAGAAAACAGAAAGAAGCCTTCAGATTCAGGCATGGAGACTCTGCTCCAGTGCACTTCCCTGGAGAAGCAGCTGAGCCAAACACAGCCCCAGAGCCAGCCTCCTGGGCTTCAGATCCTAGCCTGCCCTTTCCCCGCTGGAAATCCTCTCTGGGCTTTAGTTCTTAGTTTTAGTTTTTAGTCTGAAAAGCAGATATGATAACAGGCCCTACCTTGTGGGGTTGTTGTGAAAATTCAGAGTGTAATACACATAAGCCTCCCGTACACTGGCTGTCAGTGAGAGATCAGGAGGCATCATTTATGATTCATGTTCTCTGTGGAGGGCGGGAGGTCAGCTTCCTTTCTCCCTCAGTCTTACCACTCCTGTTGGTTTCACAGAGGAATTCTGAAGAGTTGTCATTGTTTACATCTGAAGGATTTAAGAAGAAAACAAAGAAGGAAAATGTGAGATGTAACACCAAGACATTTTAAAACATTGGTAGAAGAAGCCCCTGTTGCAGAACATAACTTTAAACCACAACTCCTCCAGACTCTTAAGGAAGTCAGGAAGAGTAGCTCCCCTGGTATCTAAGAGGAAAATTTGTAGCCTGAAGCTTGGTTTTACAGGCTAAAAGAAAATTTACATGCTAGAATTCTGATCAGGTCAGGAAAAACTAGTTGTTAAAGAAAAGCATGAAATGAGCTTGGAAGTGTAAAGATCAAGATAGCTACAGTAGCCCAGTGCAAGGAGTTTAAATAAAACACTCTTTCTTAGACATCAGTCCAGGAACTATAGTGTTCTGCATTTCCAAACCATAAAAAATAGATAAACTTGAAAATACTTGGATTTTTATAGACCATTTATTCTATACCTAATAAAATGAAATAGGGTAACATAAAAATCTTCTATAAAGTCTATTTTTCTAAATGTCAGCCTGAATATTTACTAATGAGGCTGTGATTTTGTCACATTTGCCTTTTATGTATACCATCATTTTGGGGTAAATCAGGAATAAATAAGGAAAAAGAAAAAAATAATTTTTAGCACATGGGGAAATAAATTTAGATGCATGCAGATGTCTCTGGGTAAGTTCTTTCCCCTCCCTTTGCATTTTTGTCCATTTGCTTATTTGTTTAAATCTGGAGTGATATCAAGATTTGAAGATTAGTAAGAGGTTAGTTTTATTTCTATCCTTTCATTCTTTTTAAGTGTAACCACTGAAGACTTATAAATCCAGTTCTAACATCTTAATTACACATGGCATCATGTATTTCAATTAATCTTCTAATTATACCTATGTCTGACAGGGAAATTTGAGTATCTTATCAGAGACATTGCAAGCATTTGCAGGATTCAAGTTGAAACCACCTTGTAATTTTATTCTTTGATTTTTAAATTGATGAAATGTAGACTTGTCCAAAACATAAACAAAGGGAAAACAAAAGAAGAATATAGAGCTAATGAAATAAGAGAGTCCAGGGAATTATTTTATGGTGGGGTCTAACTAATAAGAACATTTCAGAACAAACATCACAAGGACAATCAGTCATGTTTCTAGAAGCCCTTTAGAGAAAGATCTGCTTAAACTTCTCATATTTTACTTCCACAGTAAATATGATAAAATGTATTTCTCTTATAAAGGAAACAAATTTTCAATAACAAAATAAGTCACCAATACTTACAATGACCTAAAGTCAGTCCTCAGTTAAAACTCTTGGGTGTTTCCTATATCTATGTGGATGCTCATTAGAATCCTTAGAAGGCGTTGTGTTTTCTGTCTCCTCCTCCTACCATCTAGTCCTGGAGTTTATTTATTGAACAAGATAATGAATTTATCTCCCTTCCTCCAGATCTAAATGTTCTGGGGACTTCTGAGGTTGTAATAGCTACAATTATCTGGTAAGATTCCATCCTATACCATTGAAACTCAAAACATGATTTCCTTTCCTAAACTGATTACCTCCAATTAGTGAGTCATGAAATTTAATTTACTTTTGTTGACTTAGTAGCTCAGACATGATTTTATTATAATGTGTCACAGTCTAAAGTGATCTGGTTGACCTTCACATCTCATATGTTATAGTTACTGCTTTTGTTTTCTAGGTTATCCAATATGGAACCTGTATCCTAAACTGCTGTTAAGTCAAACATCTCCTTGGTTGGGGTGACTGATAGGGAACACATTTAATTCAGTGTAAGATAAACAAAGTCCAGTTTGGGTTCAGCATATCAGGTGTTCCACAATTAACATTTGTTCATCTAAATGACACTCAATGTGATCCAAACTGTTCTTTCTAGTTATTAAAATGTGAAAAATAATAATAATAAATCAACACTTTGATGCTTAAACATAAGCTTTTGCATAAACACTGCTCCATCCTGCCTACATACATTGAGTTCATCTCTTAGGAACTTGGACCACTTCTTAACTAACATTTCTAAGTCTGTGCATCTGCAGTCCCAACCACTCTATAGTTCTAATATAAGATCTCAGTATAAAATGTGGAGGAGGAGGTATTGTTGATAATCACACTGAGACAGTTCTTACAAGGCCATGAGGATACCTGGTGCCTTCTATCATGCTTCTATCTGTTCCCAAATACTCCTAATGGACTTGACTTCATGCTATTTCCAAGATACAGCTGTCTTGAGGATATAATGTCAGGTTCCCCTGAATTTTTGAAACTGAGAAATCTGTATTTGTATCACTTGCTATCAAATTTCAAAAGCCCACTGCTTTAGCTATTTATGAGCACAAGATCTGGAATAGAATTACTGACTTTTAAAAAACAGGATCACATATATGTACATAGAAACATAGAGGTTTCAGTGACATTTAATGAAATAGGCAGTTAGTAGCTGATAAACTGAGGTTTAAATCTCCATGAATGCTGTGATAAATAATTGGCTTCAGCTCTGATATGAATTAAATAAGTCTTAATGGGCTGGACTGGAACTCTGCACCCCTGTAAGTCATTCCTCTTGAGGATGATAATCTTCCCTGCCCAAGAGATGAGAACAAATCAGTTCTGTGGACATACCTGCCACCCCTCTTTCCATCACAGTGCAGGTGGGAAGTGAGTTCCTATGCTTAGAACAAGGTCTCAAGATAGCTAAGGAACTAGCCCCACCTGGGGACTCAGGGCAGATCCAGGTCAGGTTCCCATGCACCCCAGGCTGGCTCCTTCTAACCACATGTTTATCAGGGGGTTGTTTATCATTCCAAGATACTCAACAGAAGCCAGAGGTACACTGATTTTTGTTTAGCTTCCTCTCCAGTCCCAGCAACACCCATCCTACAGCTGGAAGAGTGTTGCACCCACAACAACAGCGCTACCCTGTCCTGGAAACAGCCACCTCTGTCCACGGTGCCCGCCGAGGGATACATTCTGGAGCTGGATGATGGCAATGGTGGTCAGTTCCGAGTAAGTAGACAACCTACGACTTTTATCTCAAACCAGTGACTCCTTCAGAGAACCTGCCATGGAGTCTCTGGCCTGGCTTCCCCAACTCTTCTGGAGGTGGGCCATCCTGATAAGGCCTACTGGCCCTTCAGCTGTGGCCTCCCTTCTCCTAATACCATTAAAGACAGAGGAATCTCTGGAATTTTTCTACTCTTCCTGAAAGACAGTACTAGCAGAGCTGCAAGCTCTGAATCAGATGGCCTGTTATAATCTGCTCACCTCCACTGACCTGTGTGACTGGGTCTGTTTCTCACCTCTCTGCACTTTCAGGTCCTTGTCTGTAAACCAGGGGGATGATAACAATAACATGTATCTCATGACTTGTTCCTAGGACTTCACTGGATAATCATGTAAGATTCTTAGCATGCTGCCCAGCACATGGCGAGGCTGCAGTAGTAGCTATTATTATTACCATTATTATTTATTGCTAGTAACATCATTAACCACTGTCTAAGATGTGTTTCTGCAGTCATAGCTTGCAATGTCATTGATTGGCATTCCTCTTACTTGACATGCTGTCCAGGTATGGCCTCCCTATATTCAAAAGCTTTCCTAACAAAAGTTCCCCTGGTTCCAAGTTTTTTTCTGAGCCTTTCACCAGATAGAACTGATGTCAGCAGATTATTATCACCACAACACAAGGGAGTTCTAATCCCTGTGGGAAGCTCATGGTCCCCTCTGAAGGTAGCACTGGCTGGCCTTTTGGCAAGACATACCCACGTTGCCTACAAGTTGGTAGTCCATGTGTGACTGCCAGTCTGCAAATGTCTGCTTCTCTGTCATATACAGACAAGCTCGTTCTCATTCATTCTCTTTTCCTACTTTGCTTTTCACCTACTCCAACTCAGTCTTGCCTGAGATTTCTTTCTTGGGAGCTCTGATGCCTAGGACCTCCTAATGGAGCAGCCCTTCTGGATACTGAGTTCAATCCCTGCCCTGAAGAAAAGGGAACTTGTCCCTGAAGAGGAAACTTTCCTACTCTTCTGGCCATCGATGGCCAAACCTGGGTCACCAGTTCTGTAGAGCAAAGTCTACCAGTGACTCCTTTCCTGAATGTCTTTGATCCTCCCTAGGTTTGAATGCTTTCAAACAGGAACCATGTCTCCTCAAGGCAAAGGCTCTTTCTCTTCTAATAAGAAAATCTTTGTTTACATATGTGTTGGTTTACTGGTATGGCAGAATCAAGTTTCTACCTTTCCAAAATAAGGGTCTTGGGTTGCATCCCAATCCATATCTTTGTGTGTGTGTGTGTGTGTGTGTGTGTGTGCCTATAAAATCCTGCTATTGGTCAGTTTCTCACCTTTGACCTTGCCTTTCAGGTCTCATTTCATTTCTAGGGCCTTTCTTTTCCCTTTTATTTTTCTCCTGAGAAACTAATGCTCATGGTTTTCCCTGTTCTCTACATAAATATCTATTTTATCCTGACTCTTTCCACCTAATTGCTACCTACCGGCAGTGTTTCAGGCATCCTGCCAGGTCTCGCCTTCTCTTACAGTCCCAGTGTCTCATGTTCATCCCGCTTCCTCATCTCGTCCCTCCTGAACCCATCTCTCACCCACACTTCTCTTCCAAGAATCAAGCCCAGATTTCTCCTTTTGCAGAAATGTCCATGTCTGTATCATAAAACCCCCTTAAACTCAGCATGCTTTAAAACAAACCCATAATTTTCTTTCAAAACAGCTGTGTTCCTTTCTCATTCCCATTGTTTCTTCTTATATATCAGATTCAGAATCTCAACACCAACTGCTCCTCCTTCCTGGTCGAGACCCAGTAACATTAACGAAGTCATTGAATCCCCAGATCCTTCCTAGTCAGCCCGTTGCTCTCCCCCCAGGGTCCCTCCCTTTCACTCCACAGACTACCTTGAAAAGGTGCGGCCAAGTCAGGCTCCACAAAGGTTCCAGCCGAGTCTGCAGGCTGTTCCTTTCTTACTCTTCAAACACAGTTCTTGCTGGCAGCACTGGTTTCACCTGGGCATTTGTTAAAAATGAAAAATCTTAGACTGCACCCCAGAGACCTGCTGGATCAGAAACTGCATTTTAATCAGATTCACAGTTATTCCTATGCACATAAAATTTGAGGAGCCTGAAAGAGAAGGAACAATATTCAAATTTGTGTTACTGCTGCAGTAGAATGAATTGTAGGGCTATCCAAGACCCCAGTCTTCTTAGGAGCCCACCGGAGAGCTGTCATTTTAAGGCTGTGCCTCGAATGCAAATTATTTTTACTCATTACACCGCATAATTTTGCAAAGTATATAGCTGAAGAGGGAAGCAAATGCCTAACCTATGCTAAAGATGCATTATGCTAGGATTTATTTTAAGCCTTTGAAATGTCATTCTTCCTCCCCCTTCCCTCTGTACTGTGGTACAAACCTTTACTTCTGAAGCTTTGAGCCTTTGTGACAGTTCCTAAAGTTATCAGTGGAGTAATAAACACAGCACAGAGACCACCCTCATGTTTTCATACATGCTTTAAAAAAATGCTTCTAAAAAATAAATAAAGAAGACTCATTCTTATAAACAAAGAGCTCCCCAGGTGTAACATACTATGTAAATGCCAAGTTAATATTAATAAGTATAGTTCTAAGTATAAGCATTTAATTTTAATTTCTTAAGCCCTACTAGTTGCTAAAAACTACGACTCATTAAGCTGCTGGGCCTATGATAAATACAAGGATCCATGTTCTCCATCTGCACATAAAACCTTCTATGGTCCTCAAATCAACTTTGGAAGGGGTGTATTATTTTGCACCCCATTTCACAGATTAAGTACTGAGGTTTAAAGGGATATATTAAACTGCCCAATATCACACAGGGGATTCAAGTTCACATCAGGCTTTCAGAAGAGTTCTTACTCCTAACCATTCAGCAATTTTGTCTTCCTTGCTCCTGGCAGGGTTCACATTAAGTGGTGTCCTCTTATTTGTTGACCCTCAGGAAGTGTATGTCGGAAAAGAGACAATGTGCACTGTGGATGGTCTTCACTTCAACAGCACATACAACGCCCGAGTCAAGGCCTTCAACAAAACAGGAGTCAGCCCATACAGCAAGACCCTGGTCCTCCAGACGTCCGAGGGTAAGGCCCTTCAGCAGTACCCCTCAGAGCGAGAACTGCGTGGCATCTAAAATGGCTGGCACGCCCGGAGGTAACCCCACCACTGCCCACATTCCTGAAGTGTTTCCATGACTTGCTCTGCATTCTGGCACAGAGCCGCTGTTCCTCTCCTGCCTTTAGAGAGCCCATGGTATGTGGATGTGATCAAACCAAAGATTCCACATCGGCAGTTCCAACGGCTTGGGCCGTCGGCTTCCTTTGATAACACTCTAAATAAGCTGCAGTTGAAGAAACTGAAAATGAAGGCCTGAATGTGCCCCTGGTGTCTAAGACGAATGTATCTAGGCTGTAGAGCAGGTCTCCATTCTCCACCAATACACATCAGTTGCCAGTTATGCCCAGATGGTTCTCAGTTCCTGTGTAGTGTTTGCTTGTTCCTGAGGGTGGGACCTAGGTTCTTTCCAGCTGTGGATTTGTATGACTGCACATGTTTCCAATGGGCATGGGGTGCTAAAGCCGTCCAGAGAGGGCCTTTTGGCCACTCCTGGCTTAACCAGTTCTGATCACTTCCATTTCCTACTCAAAGCTCAGGCTGTGGGCACCAGGACAGAGACTTCCTGTGGGCACCAAACAGGAAGAGACCAGCCTCTCTGCATTACCTCGCCATTCTCACCTTTGCCAGTCCCTCTAGTCTTGGTCCAGCTGCCTAGGGCCACTATACAATGTTAATCTCTAGAGAACTTGTGCTTCTTGGCTATACTGTAAATATTTTGGTCATCAAAGACAAAATAATCTGCCTCAGAAGAGAGGCTTAAATGTGATGACCGGGTATAACCTCTGAGGCTTTTCACATTTTCATTTTAAGAGCAATCGCAACACATGATATTGAACCTATGAGAGGTGTTTGTAGCCAGTGCCAAAGTATTTTGAGACCTTGGGGTGTCATTTTAATCATAGAAGTCGCCTCCCACCCCATTGGCATTCTCAATAACTTCCCTTCACAGAACCAATTATGTTGATTTTGTTCACGTTCAAGATGTTAACTAAAAGAACTGTGGAGGTGGTTTTTTTTTTTTTTTTTCCCACTTCCCACAAATCACAGCATGTTCCAGTCACCCTCTAAAATGGTTCACATGGTTAAAAACAAGCACAACTTTGAATCCTATAGCAAGGGTGAACGACCCCTAGCTATGAAAACAGTGCTTTGGGGAGCAGTTTTAAGTCTGAGTGATGCTATTCAAACAGAGGATTTGTTGACAGGACAATGTCCACATGACCTATTTTATTTGGATTACAGTGACATGATAACTAGAACTTTCCCCAAGATTATCATTTTAGAAACTCCTCTCTGGGATGACCTATCAACCTGAGAGCAGTTGCCTTTTTTTCCCAAAATACCATGATAGATGCTAACACCCTCCAAAAGTTTTTCCTACGTACAATGCAAAGGGCCCTCGATGTGCTGGCCTGGTTTCCCATGTATGCACACAGCAGATTCAGTGAAGTGCATGCCAACAGAGCAGAGAGAAAATTGTAGTAGTTTTGCTAGTATTTGTCCTCAGACCTATAAGAAAACTATTTCTACTCATAATACATCGTGGGAATTCTATTCTGCTAAAATCAGTTATTAGCATAACAGCCTGAGTGCTTCTTTCATCCTGCAAAAGGATGTAATTTCATAGTTTCTTTTAATGTTCATGAGATTATGGTGTCTAATTTAATAAATTACAGGATTTGGAACTGCGATCCTTGGTACCACAGTCACAGAATCGGGGGTCAATTTCTAAATGAAACTAATGGAACCAGTTCTCTTCCAACAAAGAAACTGTACTGTAGAAATTAATTTCCTCCATGAATTTTATATATTGTATACAAATATAAGGTATGTATCTGAATACAAAGCAGACGCTATCATCATGTAGATATCAGTGTTCTCTGTTACTGCACAGAAGTGACTTTCTCATGATGAAATAAAGTTCACACACATACTTTCTCCATAACTTTGGTTTGTTCTATTTGTTTCTCCCTCTCTCTAATTCATTCAAATAGTAAGACAAGACTTAGAAAGCAAGAAAAATATAGTGGAGAGTTCAATTTAAAAAAAAAAAAAATTGTTCAATCTGTTACAATAGATAAAGCCTATAGAGTTAATTATGTCATTTTTGTTTTCTAGAAACAATGAGAAAAAAAATGCTATCAACAAATTTTTGATACATTCATTGCACTTGTACTTTATTTATGTTATTTCCTACTTTTCCTGGAAAGTTTGCTTTAGAGATTCATCATGTTTGCTGGTATTGGGGGAGGTGGTATGGTTCATTTTGGCTTTCTACTATAACAAAATCTTTCACATTCTTCTTAGCAAGAATCAACCCTTTTCCAAAGTTCAAAACACAAAGTTTGAATGTGAAAAGAATACAATTACATTTGTGATAGCAAGCATAATTTGAGATTACATGTATTTAGTCTGAGGTTTAAATCACTTGTCTCTAAAACCCTGAACTGTCACAAAACCTTCTGCTGTCCTAAAGGTAACATTACACAGAGGAGATCAAATGTCTACATTACTATGTATTCTTACCATTTTTTTTCCTCAAAAGCAAATTTACCTATCTATCTGTCTGTTTCTCTATCTCTCTGTGTTGGGCATGATTGTTAAGTGCCCACTGTGTGCTACACTGTGGTATAGAGTCTTTAGCAGATGGTACTCCTGCTCTGTGGAGCTTACAGACTAGTAAGAGAGACAGACCTTAAGGAAATAAACACACAAATAGGTCACAAGCTTACAAATTTTGATGAGCATTGTAAAAAAGAAAAGGAAGGCATGATTTTTTATTTTTTATTTTTATACTGGCCAAAAACCAATGTAATTCAGTAGAAATGAAATGTGCTATTATAAGATAAAAGGAAAGGAAAATGTGTTATTGTGTGAGTTCAAGTTTGGCTGGTTCCTGAAAGCAAATTCCTGGGGAAGTATCTAAGACAGCCATTAAAATATGGCCAGTCCCAGATCTAAACCAAATTACTTTGACTTAAGAAGAAATATAACTGCAAGCAATTTAGAATTTTAAAGCAATTTTAAAATAAGGCCCACAAACTAGGTTGTGTAGAATTTTACAGTAATTCATTTGATACCGTCATGGCTGTGTCACAGTCCTTGAAACCATCTGCAAAATAGTGCCTGCTAAAAACCTTGTGTACTGGAGGCCTTCTTGATGCACAGTGTTCTGAGGCTCATTCGGTGTGACAGACTACACTGAGTGCAGGATAGGACACTTTCTGTTTATTTTTCTCTAATTGCCTTCTGCCTATCTAAACAGACTGACTGAACCTTTTTCTTGTTTTAATCTGGAGACAAGAAATAAAGGGATGGTAATATTCATGGGACTCAAATAACTCACTGAGCCTATTAACTGGCTGAAAAAAATTAAGTCCCTGAGATTTCACTCCACTCAGCCCCTCAAAACTGGGGAATTGCTTCTGGCAGCCTCCTCCCCAGAATTAAAGAATTTACCCTCCCTAGTCCTTTAAGGAAAGTAAAACATGGAGGATTGCAATATGTGTACTTCAACACTGACTTCTCTGTAGAGATTTTCCTTGGACAGATTCTTTGAAGGTGGAATTACTAGATTAGAGAGTCTGAACATTTTTGAAGCCCTTGATCTGTATTTCCAAATCGCTTTCCAAATAGTTTTACTCTAGGAATGTGTGAAACATTCCATTTTAATATATCACCTTAATTTTACTAATTGGGGTTTAATTTCAACTAACAAACTCCTCTAAAAATAAAAAAAAAATGTTTCTAAAAGTGCTTTTACTATATATTTTCATAGAAGTACTATTCTGATTGTTTTACATCTAATAGCTACATGAAATAAGTCACAACATACTGCAGGGCAAATTAACGTGATCTAAAGGGAAAGAGAGTTCCCAGAGAATGAGTTGGGAAGAAAGCAAGTGGGGTGGAGATAGAGGGAGAGATAAAGAGATATCCAGGTAGAGGGGATAACAGTATGCAAAGCAAAGCTTCAAAAATCTGCCTTGCACTGACACAAGATGATATTTGGTCATTCAGAACTTTAATGGAGCACCTCTGTTATGTCAGGTAAATAAGCTGGGCCCCAGGATCACAGGAAAGCATGAAGCAGGGCATGTGCCTTAGAATTCAGGAGCCTTACTGTTCCTCCAAATTCTGTGACACCATACCTTACTCAGATCAGGGGAGGGATTCAGATATTAGCTACACAGAAGTGTAGGCATATCTACTGAACTGCCTTAGGGTAGATAGAAAAAAGAAATCACTGTTGTTGTGGTGGTTGTTGTTGTTTCCTGTTGGACCTGATAGTAAAACATGTAATTAATAGTTTTTATATAATTCCACTACTGTATCTCAGTCTCCCAAAAATATTTGAGGCTTTCACATCCCTGTAATTTTTCATAGAATCTTTCCACGGACAATGAAGTTCTCAGAACTACCATACCATTCACCTTGCTTAGAACTAAGATCTTCACCCTACAATTTAGTTGTCATCCTGCAATCAAACAGTAAAAACAATGTCTCCAAAATTGGGGAAGAAAAGAAAAAAGGACACAAAGTTCAGGTTTATTTATTCTTAGTTTATGCACAATTTTACCGAGCTCATTGGCCGATTTGTTAAGACCACAGAAAACTAAAAGCTTCACATTGGAACAGAGATAGGGAGTTGTTATAGAAGTTAATTTAGTCTTTTGGCAGCATTGATCGAGGAAGGTGACTGGAAAAAACTTAGAAAAGACCCCCCAAAAAAAATCAAAAGAGAGCATTCTGTGCCAAATGTTCTGATTAAGAAAGTCAGAAATATTTCTATCTAAAACATTTAAAAGCTAGTATGTTCTCTGGAACCCTCAGTAGTGGATATAGGGCATATCACAGAAGGTCTTATGGAATTACAACATGAAATAAGCTGAAAAAAACTATTACCTTAAACCCTTCTTCATTTTGCATCAAGCTGCTGAGAATTTCTTCATTGTTCATCTGAAGA